AGACGGGCTGGAGACATGGCTCGACTACAAGCATTAATTTCCTCAGCACTGCAAACACAAGCCTCCGTCCAAAAAAAAATACAAAGCACCAAGACTAAAGGCACACTACAGTTTACGCAGAAAGCAGAGAAAACATCTACTCTCTGATTTTTGAGTGAGAGAGAAGACGAGCAACTACTATTATGACTACTGCGTATAAACTGGTAATGGCAACAGGCAGATGCGGCCGACACATCCTGAACGTCTGTTCTCACAGCCGCCTGTCTGCAAAACCAGGCGCACTGGAGTCTGGATCCGAAGCGCAGAGGGCAGACGCCCCTTGCAAGCTCTCTGGGACACCCGTGAAAACTGCCCTCAGACACGGCCCCAGAGAAAGGCTCAGCTCCAAATAGTCGATATTACACAGACCATGGTCTTTGAATGTGAAATTGTATTAGAAAGTGTCAATAAAAAGACTTTTTAAAAACCCTTATGTTTCAAAGCTATAGAATAGCTTCCTGAACAGCCCACATGATAAAAAAATAAATAAAGCATTTCATATTCAAATTAAAGGAATTTATTAAAAATTCAAGATAAACCATGCTTAAAACAAAATGTATAGCCTTAAATATATTTGTTTAAAATGACACAAACTCAGGGGCACCTGGGTGACTCAGTCAGTTAAGTGTCTGACTTCGGCTCAGGTCATGATCTCATGATTCGTGAGCTCAAGCCCCACATTGGGCTACACACAGACACAATGAAGCCTGCTTGGGATTCTCTCTCTCCCTCCCTCTCTGCCCCAAACCTGCTCAAGTGCTCTTATTCTCTCTCTCTCTCAAAATAAATAAACCTAAAATAGATGAATTAATTAATTTAAAAAATGGCAAAGACTCGGGCACCTGGGTGGTTCAGTCGGTTAAGCGTCTGACTCTTAATTTCGGCACAGGTCATGATCCCAGGGTTGTGGGATCGAGCCCCGAGTCAGGCTCTGCACTGAACATGGAGCCTGCTTAGGATTCTCTCTCCCGCTCCCTCTGCCCCTCTCCCCAACTGATGCGATCTCTCTCTCTCTCTCTAAAAAAAATAAGTAAAATAAAATAATAACTAAAAATAAAAGAGCTATGTATTTTACACAAGGACTAAAAATGTAAGTAACCAAAGAAATTAAAAGGAAAATTAAAGAATAGAAATCAATGAAATGAAAACCAAAGTGTATATCTACAAAACCAAAAGTTGATTCTTTGCTGGAGGGTGTCGATTTCAATCACTTCTTTAAAGTCTCAAGGTAAAAAGACACAAAATTTTTGGAAGGAAAGGAAACTTATAACCGCAGATGTATTTTTAAAATCATAAAGGCACAGTTGAAACATCTTTATGCCACGACTCTGTAAACCGAGAACGAAATAGCTCCCGGAGAAAGGCTTGAGAAGGCACAGCCGGCGGCCGCGGGGTTCTGCTGCCCCCCGCCCCCCGCCCCCAGCACAGCCCGCCTGTGGGAGACGCTGGTTCCAGAAACCCTCGGCCCAAGCCAGGCAGCGGCCTCCTCCGCTGACCCGTGTGCCTTGCAAATATCATTTTCTGAGCACGCCAGGCAGGGAGAAAATTTGGCAAATTCTAGTGTACGTGGAAACCCTGATTTTTAGCTTAGCACACAGATTCCTGGAATAAAGATTTCACTTCACGGCCCCTTAGTGACAAAGATCTGGCCAGTGTCACAGAAGCGGTGCGCGCAGCTTCCAAGAGTCTGGAAGGAAAGGGACATGCTTTTCTCCTCCCCTCCCCTCCTTCCTGCTGACTGGCAGGCAATCCTGGCTGGACCTGGCTCAGCCACCTTGGCCCGTGAGGTGCCCTGACGCACGGGGGTCACACATGCGGAGGAATGAGGCAGGAGGTGCCTGGGCCACAGCTACCTCCAGACTGACTCAGGAGCTAAAGTACCTTCCACCTCACTGAAGCCACAAGAGCTTTTGATCGCTCCTTCACTCACAGGTCAACCTAATCCTAACTGATTCAAATATGAATTACCCACAGAAACTCAAAAAGAAAATAGGAAAGCGGAATATACTCACTCAAGAAATGGACTTGGTAAATCAAAAATAAAGGATTTGTTCAAGAGAACAGAAAAGTTACCAATGCTAAGACTTCACTACTAAGAAAAGACCAAGAGAGGGAACCAGCAGTGAAGACAGAATGATCAGCCATTAAGGAAATGTAAATTAAATCACAAAAGCTTAGAAAGCCTGGCCATCCTGAGTGCTGATGAGAGGGGGCCTGGGGAAGCCAGAATTCTCTGCTGTGGTAGAAACGTAAATGGTACAACCACTTCGGAAAACAGCCGGGCAGTTTCTCAAAAAGGTAAAAATACGTTTACCACGTGAGCCAGCAATCTTACTCCTAGGTATTCGCCCAAAGGAACAAAAGTATGTGTCCACACAGAGGCTCGCACGCATGTGAATGGGGTGCTCTTCACCTGACAAAGGGACACACCCACTGGGGGGGTGTATCGTGGACGTACCCACACAATCACAGTGGGTGTATCCCACGACCCAGCATGCTGAAAAATGGATAGATCTCCAAGTCACAAGATGGCTGAAAGGAGCCACGTGACCCCACCGATCTACGGCTCTGGGAGTCACACAGAGTGACCAGAGGCAGAGAGAGGAGCAGGTGGCGGGTCCTGGTGGGAAGGCCCGGGGAGAGGCAGCTGGAAGGGGTTCCGAAGGGCACGGGCCACTGTGGAGGGCGATGCACACGTTCACCGTCCTGACTGTGGAGGGCAGAGACACGTGAAAACAGGCGCATTCCATCGGCAGAGTTGATCGGCACAACCACCTTGGCGAATAAGCTGGTATGTGGTGAACTCGAAGCTCTGTGCACGCTCAGCAGCTCTGGGCCTGGGCACACGCACTAGGGCAGGGCCGCACACTCCAGCCATGGGCTGGGTCCTACTGTTGTGAATAAAGTTTTATTGGAACAGAGCCGCACATATGGTTTCCTGAGGTCCTCGCTAGGGCTGCTTCAGGCTATCAGCAGAGCTGAGAAGTTGCAACAGATTGTAGGGCTCATAAGCCTAAAATATTTGCTACGTGGCCCTTTGCAGAGAACATGTGCTGACTCGTGGTCTCAGAGACACTGGCTCCCGTCTGCCAGGAGACACAGAGGTGTGTTCACAACAATGGAAGGCGGAGTCAACCCGATGTCCACCAATAAAGGAGTTAATAGATGATGGAATACTAGTTATCAGTTAAGATGTATAAGCTAGATCCACAGGTATCAAAACAGAGAGGGTATGAAAAGCACAGCGCAGCCTGGAGGAAACCCACGAGGCGGCGGGAACGGCTGACAAAGCGCAGCTCCCACAGGCTCATCCCTGAGGCCACCCCGGGACGACGGGACTGGGGCGAAGGCAGACAGGACATCAGCCTTTCCTGTGTATTTTCATTTTTTATTTAAAAAACTCTAAGAGGTTTTTGGAAGACCAGCCAGTGAAATGTTAACCTGATGTTTATCAACACACGAAAGAAAACTGAGCAGCTGGCTTTTTCGCTGCCTGTCTGTGATACACAGACTTTGAAACGCTTACTAAACTGTACGTTTTGGGGGCGCCTGGGGGGCTCAGTCGGTTAAGCGTCCGACTTCGGCTCAGGCCATGGTCTCACTGTTCATGGGTTCGAGCCCCGTGTCGGGCTCTGTGCTGACGGCTCAGAGCCTGGAGCTGCTTCAGATTCTGTGTCTCCCTCTCTCTCTGCCCCTCCCCACCTTGTACTCTGTCTCTGTCTTTCAAAAAATAAACAAAAATAAGAAGAAAATAAATACTCTGTACTTTTTACTCTTCTGAGAGAAAGCAAGCTCATGTGCACACAGGAGCAGGGCCGGGGCAGAGGGTCCCAAGCAGGCTTCGCGCCCGGCGCACAGCCCAGCAGGGGCTCCGCCCGCAACCTGAGATCAGAACCTGAGCCGCAATCACGTACACTCAACACCACCCAGGCGCCCCGCACTGACTGTGCTTTTTTAAAGCAGCCAATGTTCACCCAACAGGGACGTCTGTTTCCTTTTATCTTCTGAGGTCAAAACGCCTGCTCTGCCATGGGCCCTTGCAGGGGAGTCTGAGGCACAGGCCCAGCGTGCTCTGCGTGAAAAGCATGGCTAGGAAACTGGAACCAAGTGAGGCTTCAGAGGTCACCTACAGGGACAGCCTGGAGGGACACACTCCAGTCCCAGGGACACTGCCAGGGGCAGCAGGCATAGGGCCAGGACACATTCCGGTTCCACAGCAACGGGGGTGGGCAGCGGCCGAGCCAGGGCTGGGGCCGCCCAGCGACGCCTCAGCAGCATTACCCCCGTGTCGGCCGGGGGCCTCGAATGTCACTCTCAACTAGTCTCCTCACTGGCGGCTCCAGGCCACGTCTTCATGACAAACAAGGACACTTTAGGCAGAATTATCTGTGTGTGTGTTTATGTGTGTAAAACTTACTGGAATTGTTCACTGCCAGTAAAACTATCCAAAAAATGCCTTTTTGTTAAAAAAGCAGTAAGTGAAGCTACACTCTGATGTTTAAAGGGACTGTAAGAGAAACCCAGCCGTCGCTGGGGGCACCAGGCTTGCAGGCAGGCACCCCAGGGTCACACGCCCCGGGGCGGTGGCTGGCGGGAAGCCGTGGGTCCCAACAAAAGCACGTCCCACGGGTAAGCAAGGCGGCTGGGAGGCCCATCCTAACGGCGGGTAGACTGAAAAGCCAGACTGGAAGCTCCCAGGCTCTTCCACCACGAGCCAGGGCCCGGCGGCCAGCCCCCCACCTCTGTAAGCAGGGAGAGAGGACGCACGAGGCAGGAAGGGGACGGCCACGGAGCCGGAGCAGAACAGAGCCTTGGCCTTGACTCCCGAGCCCCCAGGGCAGGCCGTGGCCCCACCCATGACACACTGGAGGGGCCCCAAAATTTCTATCCTCCCAACAGGGGGGGAGGTGTGGGGGGACCTTCGAAGTGTACGTGCGGCATCTGCAGAAAGCCCCCCTTACCTTCTCTCCGGGTCTGGGCAGCTGCTGCAGCTTCTCGTAGTCTTTCTTGGTCTCCAGAATTTTTTTCACAAGCCCTCCTGTTGAGAATCAGTGGTTTTATGTCATTGTCCGCCCTGAGGAGCTCGTCTGTTCTAAGTGGGGAGGGGGTGGGAAGAACGCTAGTTCCTAGTTCTTCCTCTTTCTATACCGAAAACAGGCTTCAGATCATCTTTATTTGGTACAAGAGAGTCCGCGATACACTGATAAGTAGCCGGCGGTGGACATTAACCATGAAACTTCAGTGTGTCCCCACTAGGTATTTATCCAAAGGATACAGGAGTGCCCAACGTTTACAGCAGCGCTCGGCAACAGCCAGACCATGGAAAGCCCAAATGTCCATCGACTGATGAATGGATAAAGAAGATGTGGTTTATCTATACAACAGAATATTACTCAGTGATCAAAAGAAATGAAATCTTGCCATTTGCAATGATGTGGATGGAACTAGAGGGTATTAGGCTGAGTGAAGTAAGTCAGCCAGAGAAAGACAAACATCGTACGATCTCACTCGCATGTGGAGTTTAAGAAACACAACAGATGAACGTAGGGGAAGGGAAGCAAAAATACGATAAAAACAGAGAGGGAGACAAACCATAAGAGACTGTTAAATACTGGGGACACACTGGGGGTTGACGGAGGGGCAGTGGGGGGGAGGGGCTAGATGGGGGATGGGCATTAGGCGAGCGCTTGGTAGGACGAGCCCTGGGTATCGTATGTAAGGGATGAATCACTGAAAGCCCCTCCTGATACTGACGCTATAATATATGTTAACCAACTGGAATGTAAATAAAAACTTAAAACAAAAACGAAACAAAGAAAAGAGCGCGGGGGGCACGGAGGTCAGCAGCAGGCAGGGGCTTAGGGGAAACAAGACGCGCCGATGTGATGGGAACAAGGCGTTCCTTAGGAGACTCTCCTCGCTTCCGCAAATGTTTGAAGCTGAAGACATTTGGGAAAAGAACAAATATGACAAACATCATCGATTCGGGAATGACCCCGGAGGCCGAACCTCTCATCTAACCCCACGCCGCGCTCGAGGCTGCGACAGTGAGCCCGGGGCCCCTGGGCTGTAGGCCACGAGCCCAGGGGGAGCCCACCCGCGCTTCCCCACTGATGCTCCTCAGACCTGACGGAGCCGGCGGCGCAGGGCTCAAGGGCGCGAGCACCCCTGCGCAGGGCTGCGCGCGCCCAGCACTCACCGTGTCTCTCCTCTTCGTCCACACCTACCGCTGGCACCTGGGCAGGAAAGGAAGGTAGAAAAAGCTGATTCTCGAAATCCCGCCTCCACAGATCATCCCCGCGCAACGACAAAATTAAGGAAGGCAGACGTCTAACTGAAAGGTGAGAGGGACGTCTGGGCTCCGTGAACCCGAATGCTGGAGCGTGGACTCCAGTGCCGTCCAAGTGCAACTGCAAACACACGCCCCCCTTAACTCACCATTTCGAGTCCGGGCATCTCAGGCAGCTGCGGGGCGGCCTCCACCACAAACTGGTCGTCCTCCTCGCTGTCGGAGTTCTGCGTGTCCACAATCACGCTGGCCACGGCCTCACCACTCCCTGTCCTAGAGCCCAAGAAACCCCATCAGGCCGCCCGCCCCCTGCCCCCCGGGCTCCGAGGGAGGAGCTTCACCACCAACCGCCTCCAGAACAGCACAGAACGCAGGCGGCTGCGTGAGGCCCGCCAGGCCCGGGCCCCTGAGAGTCCTGCCCTCAGTTCTCCTGCCCCCACTCATGGTGGAGGGACCCGGAGCCTCGCCCCTCCCCTGGCTGCACTCTCTGAACACCAGCCCTCCACCTGCAGCCCCGCCCCTGGAGGGCCCTGTTCTCCCGAGTCGCAAACACGAGGGCAGGGGGCAATGTGGCCGCAGACCCCCGCTCCTGGGTCTCTCCCGGAGCACAGTGGCCTCCCCCGGCCCCATGTACCCGGGCCCTGCTCCCTGCCCAGCACCCCTCTCCACCGAGTCCTGCCGTCGCCCGGGGTCAGCAGTACGTGCCCAGTGCACACACACACATGCCTGTAATCCCCCACCCCACGGCCACAGCGCGTGCCCAGTGCACACACACGTGCCCGTACCTCCCTGCCCCACGGACACAGCGCGCATGCCCAGTGCACACCCTTCCCTTGCTGGCAGTGTGCAAGGCCGCGGGGGACATGTGCTCGGGCGTGAGCTCTTGAAACCGAACACGTTTCCCTCAAACACCCTCAGCTCCGGTACCAGCCCCTTCAGCCCTCACAAGCATCGTCCTGCCCGCGCCCCCGGCTGGGCCAGCCACGCTTCGCCCCGTCCTCCCCCACCCTCCCTCAGCAGGCGGCCCTCCCCGTCCTCACCCCGCCTCAAGCGGCAGAGGCCTCACCTGTCTGCCGCCAGCGCCTCCGCACTGTCCTGGTGCTTCACCCGGGGGGGCGCTGGCCTCGCGCTCCCAGGCCGAGGGAGTCTTCTAGACCCAGAGGATGCAAAACCGAGAAACGGATATCACACACTTGCACATTTCAAAGTGGACGAGAAAACCCAGGTCAGTGTCGTCGCGAACTCCCCCCGCCCCCGTCAACATGCCAGTCAGGACGCCGTCTGCAGCCTATTAAGAACATTCCGTGAACCTGACAAGCTTAAAGCGTCCATCTTTGGATCTCATGTTTTCATTCATTTTAAGGCCCCAAAAGTAATCAAAACATAATTTACCATAATTATGAGTTTCCCTAAATCTTTAAAATGCCGTGTGTGCAGTGACTTATACCCAGAATGTGAAAGTTACACAATTGGTTCTCGCTCTCTGTACGGGCACCTCCTCTTAGTCAAGCTCGAGCACTGGGGGGAGCACTGGGGGGAGCACAGGGGGGGCACCGGGGGGGAGCATTGAGGGGAGCACTGGGGGGAGCATGGAGGGGGCACCAGGGGGGAGCACCGGGGGAGCACCGGGGGGGCAGGAGGGGCAGGAGGGGTAGCGCGTGGGGCAGACCTGACTCCGGCCGGAAGCTCGCTGGGCAGCTCGGGTCTCTCCTGGACAGAAGGCCCGACTTCTCCTTCTGAGCCGGGACGATCGCGGCAGCCATTCACAGGGAAAGAAACACAAATAGGTAAGTGCTTGAAAACACAGCAGGCGGGTAAGCGCAAATACACATGAACTTTATTCGTCTATCATTTTAACAAAGACAGAAGAGGCGTTTCCGATCTAGATTTGGTGAAGATCTGGGCGATGGGTGCGCTCGGGCCCTGGAAAGACAAATGGGTTCCATTTCTTCCCAAAGGTAGGTGGATCCGGTCAGCTACAACCTGAGAAGGCTGGACGGCATAACCGGTGGTGTTGAGATGGTCACCTGTCACCACAATTAGTGAGGATTAGTGACGGGGGGGGGGGGGGGTGTAACTCCAGCCGCAGGCCACACCCTCCGCACAGAATGACGACATCATCATCCTAACACGGAACTGAGAACAGCAACGGGCGTATCTCATCACCACACACACACACACACACACACACACACACACACGACGGGGATTTCTGCAGGACATTTACATTAGAAACCGTGCTTTTTGTTTCCTTCTTCATATTTTTCTGCATTTAAACAGCTTCCTACTTTGGATTAAACACCAAATTGTTTTTAAAATCTGAATAAAGCTTCCCTTTGATGACAAGATTTAATCAGCAAGTAACAAACTATAACTACAAAGGGTAAGCAATTAAATTAAATTCACTCCACTATTTAAAATAAAAAGGTTTTAAATTAGAAAATAGAACAAATCAGAATTTGAACTTAGAAATGTATTTTTTACTCTTGAAAGAATCCTGAAATGCATTCTTCTGGAACATAAGATGCGTAAATTAAATCTTAAAGTGGTACACTTATATTTCCTTAATGAACTTGAGAGTACGTGTTCGTACTTACACACACACACAGTTTCACAATTTGTACCAAACACACTTACTTCAGGCCATTCCTTACCTGCCTCGCTAGCGGAGTCACCTAAAAAAAAAAAAAAAAAGGCACATCAGAAAACCGACTTTTGTTTCAGTAAAGCTCGGTATGTGAAAGAGCATGGCCAGGGAAAGATACAAACTAAGTAACCCGGCCTCGTGCGGGAAAACACGGCCCTCCCTCAGGGCCTCTCCTAGCCTCCCGCTGTGATCACAGATCACAAAGATCAGAGAACAAACAAGACAGGAAACTCTGAAGCATAAATGTTATTAATGAAAAGAGGAAACGGATAAGAGAATGGATCACACGCACAAATCAAATAAATAGGCAACAGCTGATTCGCCCAGGGAGCCGCGGGCAGACCGACTGGGACGCGAGGGACGAGAGGGGTGACCTGGAAAACAAGGCTCCGGGCACTTTCACGAGTGGACAGGACAGAGCGACGGGCCCGCGGAGCTCACCAGCAGGGTGCTTCCACGGCCCCTGAACGACAGGGAACTTCTCAGGATCCCCAGGGGCTACCTTCTTCCTTGAGGGCTGCTTCTGGGGACAAGGGTGGCCTACGCGGCCACAAGCGCATGAGCGGGAGCAGGGCAGGGGTGGGGCGGGGAGGACCCAAAGGCGCAGGAGGACAGTCTCTGTGCGACACACTTAAAATGCGTGACCGCGCTTCCAGAAGCACCGAGCTGTGCGGGTCCAAGTCAGTGCCAGGGACCTGGGAGAGGCCACCAGCTGCTGCCACGCAGCCCTCGTCACCTCCAGCTGCATCTGCACATGGGGACCCTCCCCACGCACAAGGACCAGGCCCAGGTCGCCTGGGAGCGCACACCCCCACTGGGTGAAGAGCACTCCTCGGACACCTTAGCCTGCCCACTGAGACGGCCTGAGAACGTTCTGGGCACTGGTCAAAGAGCCATGTGAGGGGGGCCCCAAAGAAGGTGGCTATAGGGACAGGAGGGGCCCAGCCTCCGGGGTAACGGGAACCAGGGGCCCACAGGCCCGCGCATGTGGAACACAGGAGCCCTGGGGGTCACGCGGCCGAGGACGCGCCCAGCGCCGAGCCTGAGGCAGCGTGGGTAGTGGTGAGGAGGCGCCTAGAAATGGCGCTTCCAGACAGCGCCACTGAAGGACAGGGCGATAGCAATGGGGGGCTTGGGCTCGACCCCGGGACCACAGCAGGTAGCAGCAGACCCCTCCTCGATGCCATGCCGCCCAGACTCACCTGGTCAAGCCCAGCATGTGATAGCCGCTGTGCGGCCCGGACCCCGGGCCCCTGACCCCTAAGCTCTCTCCAAAACTCACACCACCAGGATGAGATAGACCGTGGATTGACATGAGGTTACTGGATCTCAAGGCCGACGCCCAGACGGCGAGGGCAAGGCAGCCTCCTCACCCCTTCACAGGAGAGTCCCCCACCCCTCGGCGAGGGCTCAGGCCTCAGGGGTGCGTGGGTCTTGTCCGGACCCTTCCCCAGCTCTGCCTCTTTCCCCGGCCACGCACACCCCATCCAGGCACAGACCCTGCCCGGGGCACCCTGGAACCTGCCCGTCCCCCCACCGCCCATAAGGCCCAGGCTGCTCCCTCCAGGACCAACATGACCTACGTGTGATTAAGCCACTCATCCCAACTCTCATGGGGCCTGTGCTGCCCCGTGGCCCCCATGCCCCGGCCAGCAACCCTGGTGAATAAGCCGACGAGTGTCACCCGGCCCATGAAGCACCACCTGCTCCCCCATGAGGCACAGGCACCCCTCCGGGCCTGACACGTGGCCGACAAATGCCAAAACCACCTTTCACCACGGTTTTTCTTAAATGCTGAGAAAAATCAAACCCAAAGCAGAATCTCACCGAGGTACAACTTAAGACACCCCAATGACAGGACAGGCAGAAAGGTCGGGTCAGGACGGTGTCCCGAGCTGTTTAATAGTCCTCTTTGAACATGAACCGTGCGTGGTGTGCGGCTGGGCGGGCGGGGCTCCCAGCAGTGACTCTGAAGTTTGGTTCAGGTCATTCCCGACACCGCCTGGGCTCCGCCACGTTACCCCAGAAAGGACGCTGGTCCCAACAGAGGCTGATGCCCCCACCCAGTGACCAGCCTGCCCTGGTCCAGCTGATGTAAAAAGGCGACCGTGGGTCCCTCACCACATCCAGTCCTGATGAAGAACCAGGGACTGGACTCGTGTGGGTCAAAAAGCCAAGGGGACCCTGCGGCTCTGGCCACCGCCCCCTGGCAGAGAGAGGAGCCCCGTCTCCCTCACCAAGAAGAGAAAGGAGTGAGGAGAGGGCAGCCCTCTTACCTTTCTGCTTCACTGCTGGCTCTGGCTCAACATTCTCACGCCACAGACTAGCTGAATTCTCGTCTGAAGCACTAGCTGAGTTAGTATTAGCTTCTTTCGTTCCTGACATAAAACAGTTTAAAATGGGTCACGAAGATGCACACCGCAGGCGGGTCCCCTACAGCTCCAGGACTTATCTCCGCTTTCCCACCCTGCAAGCCCACAGAACACCCACCGAAGGCAGCTGTTGAGAACTCACACCAAGAATGTTCCTGTCGGTGCGGCTGTGGGCTTAGGAGAGGGAAGGGGGGCCTGGCCTGTGAGCAAACCCCAGGCCCACTCAGCCCAGGCAGAGGCCTGGGGTCCCCACAGCCAAAGCCAACTAGCCCCTCCACCCCCATTTCCAGAACCTTCCTGACACCACCTTGTCTCCACCCGCCTCCCCACTGCAGCCAGGCCCAGCTGAGAAGCTGCAAATAGGTGGCAATTTCAGGAAAGCAGGCCGTGCACTTCCGGCACAGTGCAAAGCCCTAGATATACCGAAAGTTCCCAAACACTTGTGTACTGATTACTGGCTAACATACCAATGTCTAAAAGTAGAAAAAATATCAAATACCCGAGAAATAAAACATTTTTATATTAAAAATAAGGGGGCGGGGGGCACAGGGAGCTGCTGAAGGAGCAGAGTTTTAACTGTGGCAGGGCCAGGGTAGAAAACTAACCCACCGCTACAGGAGCTCACTCTCTAAAATGAAACCAGGAGACAAAAATAAAATTAGAAAAATATTCCCTTTCCTAAAACACAACCTTACAATTTCTTTAAAGTATTCGAGTAAACAGTTTATATCAGCATCAAACTATCATTAACTATCAAAGACCTGATTTTATATCATAGAACTATGAACAATAGAAGACATGTAATTTTCTAAGGAGAATTTTTCAATCTATAAAAATGCTTTAAACAGCCTGATTCAAGTGACTAAGTGTTTATAATCTATAAGAGAAAAAAAAGAATCATTATGATATACTAAACTCTAAAACAAAGCTAAACTTAAACATAAGCTGGACAGCTGTAGACTATTTTAAAAGAAAACACAATAGGTTGTCCTGCTTTATGTGAAAGTGTCAAAAATTTCCTACCTTATACAAAACCCACCAACCGTAAGTGACTTCCAAACGCAATACCTTCTGTCTGTATCTTGAGGGGATCAATGACACTTTGCACCATTTTATCTCCTCCAAGCCCTGGTGGCATTCTTTTTTTTTTTTTGAGGAGCCTATGATGGGTGTTTTAACATTTCTTATAGTATTCTTTTTTCTTTAATGTTTATTTATTTTTGAGAGAGATAGAGACACAGAACATGAGCAGGGGAGGGGCAGAGAGAGAGGGAGACACAGAATCCAAAGCAGGCTCCAGGCTCCGAGCTGTCAGCACAGAGCCTGTCACGGGGCTCAAACTCATGAACCGCGAGACCATGACCTGAGCTGAAGCTGGATGCTCAACCAACTGAGCCACCCGGGTGTCCCTTTCATAGGATTCCTAAGTAAGCTTTATCAAACCCCCAATGTACACAAACAGAACAGACTATACATTAATAATAAATATCACCATCAATCCTTAATCACAGATTACCCAGTCTGCCAAATAACAGCTTAAAAAAAAAACCATCGCACCCATAAAAAATAAAAATGATTATGAACTGGCCGATCGGTGCATCAGCACCCTCTGTTGTCTGAATTAGCGGTCAGGAATGACACCCGTGGGCTGGGGGGCTGGGCGTCCTGACTCCTAAGCTCCAGTGCCCCCAAGCGCTGCACCTCAAGCAGCTCCTGCCCTCTTGAGCCACGGGTCGCCCCAGCCTACTACGGTACTACCTACCGGGTGCGGACAAGGCGGGGTGCCGAGCCTGAACCAGCGCCTGGGCTCACCACCCCCGAAACTCAGCAGAGGCGCGGCCCCAACACAGCCCCCAACACGGCCGCACGCAGCCCCCTGCCCCAGCTGCCAAAGGGCCGTGCAAACTGCAGCAGCGCAGAGCTGCTGACCACGCCCACGTGTACATGCAACCAGGGCTTCCAGGGAGGGGCTCTGCCCTGCTGGCCAGCAGGCCGAGCATCCTATTATGGGACGCAGAGTCACGGGGTGTGTCCAGATGGGACAGGAGGCGGGGACGCAGCTTCACTTGTGCAGGGGTCAGGGCGAAGCAAGACGTTCCACCCAACCCTGAGGAGGACTTCACGTCAAGCAGAAGTCTGGGGAGAAGGGGAGGGAAGGAGTGTCCTAAGTTAAATGACACCACAAAGAAATGAGACAATCCAGAAGGTGGATCATTCCACAACACGTGCAACCTCCTCTCTTCAAAAGTCAGTGTGCTGGGGGGCGCCGGGGGGCTCAGTCGGTGGGGCGTCCCACTTCTGCTCAGATCATGATCTTGAGGTTCGGGGTTCGTGGGTTCGGCCGCATCAGGCTCTGTGCTGCCAGGGCTGGAGCTGCTTTGGATTCTGTGTCTCCCTCCCTCTCTACCCCTCCCCCACTAGGGCTCTGTGTGTGTCTCTCTCTCAAAGATAAACATTAAAAAAGTCAGTGTGCTGAATGAAAGGACCAGCCAGGGTGCAAGGGGGGAAGGGGCTGTTATTTAAATGAGATTTGAATGATTTAAAAAGACAAAAAGAATAAAAAACATATAGTGTATTAATCTTAATGGGATCCTGGTTTTTAAAAAATAACATTTTTGAGATGAGAACACAGCCTGGATTTAGATACCACTGGGGGATGGTATCTGCTACGTACAATAAGAATCCTGTGGCTATGTTGAAGCGGTCTTTTTTTTTTTTTTTAGCTGTATGTTAAAGTATTTACAGGTAAATGTTAGAATGGTTTTAATATACTTTGAAACAGTTCAGAAACTACGTCACTAAAGATGAAGCAAAAATGACAAAATATTAGAACATTAGACAAAATGTTATCCATGTGAGAAGTAGGTGTTAAATCATTCTGCTCTACATTTTAATGTTTATTTATTTTTGAGAGAGACAGAGAGAGCAAGCGAGCATGAGCAGGGGAGGGGCAGAGAGACAGGGAGACACAGAATCTGAAGCAGCTCCAGGCTCTGAGCTGTCAGCACAGAGCCTGACGCGGGGCTCAAACCCACAAACTGTGAAATCATGACCTGAGCCGCAGTCAGACGCTTAACCGACTGAGCCCCCCAGGCGCCCCGACTCTGCATTATAATAAAAGATTTTACACAATAGGGCAACAGGACATGGGGGGGCACCCAAGCACAACACAGCTCTGTGGCTGTCACAGTGTCCCGTCAAACAACGGCACAGAGCACGGCGCTCCGACACAGAGCAGGGCAGGAGTGGACAGCGTCCCTGCAACTTGTTCGCTGCGCCGGAGACACAGCCAAAGGGCACAGCAAGCTCAGGGACACTCCCGTGATGCCCCTGTGCCGCGGGCGGGCGGCCGAGGTCCGGCCAGAGCCCAGGTGAGCAGGCACAAAGGGGGACGGCACGGCTGAGAAGCAGCAGCTCAGGCGGAGGGGCCCTGAGAGGAAAGGCTCAGCGAGCCGACCCAGCGACACCGGACCGGAACCACGCTCCACTGGAAAATGAGCCACGGTGAGGCAGCTGACAAACCTGAGTCCCCAGAGCACAGGGGCCAGTGACGTGCGGGGCGGGACCAAAGGGGAGGGGAGGAGGCGCGGGGGGGGGGGCCAGGACCCCCCAGGAACCGGGTGCAGGGCTCCACTCGTGGCCACCAGGGGGCACCAGGCTCCGGTCTCATCTCTGCAAAGCTCTCAGCGAGAACTGTGTGCTGAGAAGTTCCAGAGAGAACATCTACCAAGTGAGGGCACAGGAGTGAGCAGCTACCTCCGTGTACTTCCAACCATCACGCCATCTCAGCGCGAGACCCGGGGCGCGCAGAACTCAGGTGGCAAGTGCAAAGCAGATGGCGTGTGGCCTACATGTGACAAGCCGGCCACTTTCTGGACAGACCTCATTTCATCTCAAGGCAGGTGTTTCCACACCCCCTTAGCAGTGAGGGGCAGGAATGGGATCTTCCGTCCCGTCTGGGATGCTGGCAGACGGACACTGCCCAGCCGGCTGCCCCAGGTGGCGGTCTCCGCTCCCACCGCCAGCACCACCTGCCCCCCTCTGCCCGTACAGGGGCTCCCCGCAGCTGAGCCTCTGCAGAAGTGAAATCCGTATACTTTGACAAGGTGTGGGTGAACGGCGGCATGCCTGCCCGCTGTCAAGTTCATCAGTGAGAACCCACTCTGCTCCCATCCACTGCCCTTCAGTCGGTGGGCCACAGCGCGAAAGAGCTAGATAAACCTGGGTCTCAGACCACCTTGGACACTGACTGTGCGGGTTGAGCAGGGGATGCAGCAGTGAGTTGGCAAACAGCCCCCCCCCCCCCCACGTCTTGGGAGCTCAGCTTCTTAAAGGGAAAGTGCACGTACAGAAAGATATGCTTACCGCTACTCTAGCTACAGGCGCAGAATTTTTAAAACCCGAACGGATACAAGGCAAGTTTAGCCTAGAAAAATTTTTATCTTTCCCTTACACTGGAGGGGCGCCTGGGTGGCTCAGTTGGTTGAGTTTCCAACTTCAGCTTGGGTCATGATCTCACGGTTCATGAGTTCGAGCCCCACGCCAGGCTTGCTGCTGTCACCTCAGAGCCCACTTTGGATCGTCTGACCCCTCTCTCTGCCCTGCCCCAACTCATGCTCGCTCACTCTTTCAAAAATAAATTTAAAGAAAACATTTAAAAAAAGATTTACACTATATTTTCTCTTAAATGTCACTCAAAATTGTTAGTATTTCTGAAGAATTTAGCTTACCATCACAAATAGTGATATTCCTCATGATCACCCCACCTGAAATCCCAAATCCATGCATCTAATGGCTCCTCAGCGGCGGGGCGAGGACATGGTGCACACGGCCCACCCCAACATAAGAGGGCAAGCCATGGGCCACGACCCCTCCTGCCACCTTCAGTGGGGAGCAGGCCCTTAGCACAACCCAGCAGCGAGGCTGGGAGAGCTGAGCGGCAATTTCCCTAACCATCCACATCAGTTTCTAAACCCTAACAGCAAGATGAAGAAAGCATTTTGATCTAGATGTGAAAATGAGTTACATGTAAAAAGGCGTATAAAAGTTAACTAAAACCGAGTTAATACTCTTTATCATAACTTAGCAAACTAAAGCAAGTGGAATATCAATGTCACTGACATTGTATCAATATTTGATATCATTTCTGATCTTCAGCATATCATGATTAGAATAATAAAAAGTATAACTACACTGAGAGATAAATGCTTCATGTCAAAGTGGTGAAGAATTCCTTTTCTTACCTATTTCCGAAGCTGCAGTTTCCTGATCTGGTTCATTATTTAATCCAGACACTACGGGGTCTAAAACTTTAGCTGAGATACTATCTTCCTTTCTTCCTGACATAAAATAGTTAACAGATTAAAACACTGCAGAGGATTCTGCATGTGGGGCGGGTGCTCCTGTTGGGACTGACGGGGTTTACACCAGGCTCACACTAGCTCGTCCCCTTGGGAGTCACAGGATGCCCCCACCCCCACCCCTCCAGCCCCCGGCTCTCAGGACAGCCTCTCTCCAGGCTGCCGGACGAGCTGCTGCACCGCCCCCTCCCTGGGGAGCCCAGAGCCCACCCTCTTCATCTCCACGGCCCCTGCTTTAACTTCACACAAATTTCCACAGCGGGAAAGACCACCATGCAAAAGACCCCCACTGCCAATGGCTCCAACCCCTCCCTGACCTCAGGGCCTCGGCCCCCGACTGCTGGGTCCCCACAATCCGGGCCACTCGCAGCCACCTCGGACCCGTGTGTGGGAGCAGAATTCCTCGTGCTGCCGCCCATCCCACAGACCGGCCTCTCCCAAAGCCCTCCCGCGGCGGTGAAGGGGGCCACCCCGGTGCCCACCCGTCCCCACTGACCTTACCCCCATGCCCTCTCCTCCTACAAGTGCCCCGCAGTCACCCAGCATACCTCTTCCTTCCATCAAATGTGTCCTATGCCCAACCCGTTCTCACCAGGGACGCTAGGGTCCCTGCCGTCACGCTCTCCCCCAGACACCTAACTGCTGTCCGGCCTCCATACTTGCCTCTCACCAGTTTTAAAAGGAGAGGCTTCTAAAGCTGAATCGGTTCCGGCCTCCGTCCGGCCTCACGTGCCCTCAGGGCTTCTGCTCACACTCGCTGCAAACACTGGGCCAGCGTGGCCCCCGCCTCTTCGGGCGGCCTCCTCCCCTTCCCGTCCCCGCCAGCCTCGCTGCCGGGCCTCCCATCGCTCACACAGGCAGGGCTGTCCCTCCGCCAGGGCCTCTGCCCGTTCCCGGACGCCCACACGCCCTCTGTCAGCCCACACAGCCCCTCCTGTGCCTCCACACCTCGCCCCTGCAGTACCCACTCCTCTCGGCCACGGTCTCCATCCACCGTCTCCTCGTTAACGTGAACGTAGCACCCTGTGTTCTCTTTACTACCTGCCTCACCCTCTACGTCATACTCCCCGGGTGCCAGCTACCCCGTAAGTATCTGCACAACACTCAAAGGGACAAGCCCAGCCTGTCACTGAATGTGGTAGAGACCCGCACACGGTCAGGGCAGCTCCAGGGGGCAGGAGTCCACCCCAGAACCCCACCCGGCCGGTGCTCAGAGAGAAGCAAAGGTCTCAGGCTCCAACGCAGTGGCCCCACGAGGGGTTGCTTCGTCTTACCGAGCACTTTCGTGGTATGTTCCTTCTTAGCTTTGCTGTGGGAAGAGCTGTGTTCTTTCTCAGGGGAGACACTATTTTCACTGGTTTTAGATTCCCTTCTTCCTGATGTGAAATTGCATAACGGAAGTGTGTGTTACACTCAAATTGTAACGCTGCATTGTACAGTCACTTGTAGCACGTTTTTCTGCTACAACGCACTACTTAATGGTAAGCAAAAATTATCATACTCTTATGAAGAATGTTTTTTGGGTTCTGCAGGGATTCAGAGGAACTTTAAGATTCCATGTACGACTGACAAACCTGATACCCGACCCCCAGGCAAACGCAGGCTTATCCCCTTGAGTAGAACCCAGACGTCCTGCACCTCATACACCTTCCGGATGCTGGACATCTGCCCAAGTGCCACCCATTTAAGTACGGCAGCTTCGCTGGGGGAGACTGGGCGCTGAGGTCCGCGCCCGGCTCGCAGGCAGGGGACAGAGCCCACCGGCTTGTTGACAGCTCGGTAAGGCTCAGTGTCACAAAGCCTGGTAACCAGTTCTCTGCGAGACGACAGAGGAGGGGCCCCGTGGTCCCAGCTCCCCAGTAAACTCAGACGCGCTGCACACACTGAGCTGTTAGAAAAGGAGACGGTAACACCTGTCCGCTGAAGACAACCCGAAATCAACAGAACTGTGGGCTGAGAGGAACACAGGCCAGGTTTACGGCGCAGTCACGACAGTCAGTGACACTCATGTGTTCCAGCACCCAGCTGACGACAGGGAGCAGAAAGAAGTCGGCATCACTGAACACGCCGGCCACAGACGACCGTGGTCCTAACCGTGGACACTGCCTGGCACGGGCGCACACTGACCATGGAAAACCCTGGTCCTAACCGTGGACACCGCCTGGCACGGGCACACACTGACCTCAGACCATCCCAGTCCTAACTGTGGACACTGCCCGGCACGGGCACACACTGACCACGGAAAACCCTGGTCCTGACCACAGACACCGCCCGGCACAGGCGCACACTGACCTCGGACCATCCCAGTCCTGACCGTGGACACCGCCCGGCACGGGCACACACTGACCACGGAAAACCCTGGTCCTGACCACAGACACTGCCCGGCATGGGCACACATGTCCTCTTGGGAGAGGCAGAGATGCTGGTACTAACTTGAAACCATAAGTGTCCAATCTCCTCCAACAGTGAGGGCACACGTGTAACACGTGAACCTAATCCTGACAAACTCATTAGTTCTATTCAAGGGATGGAAGACTTTTTGATTCAATGCTTGCAAAATAATCTGGAAGAATAAGCACATAAAATGACTTCATATTAGTAATTCTGGAACACCTGGTGAGTTACTCCAAAAGTATAACCTGAGAGCCTCCCCTTACACCATAACTAAAAAGATTAAACATAAAAACGTACGACAAACACAAGCTTCGTCTCTCAAATCTCTGCACAAACTACAAAAGCCACAAAGACCGGCTGCTCCCATTGGGGAAACTAAGGACCCAGGCAAGTCAGGAACGAGATGCAACAAGTAGGGATGAACTGGGGAAAAAACCCAAACCCGTATCTAAAAATCGGCAGACGCGCTTCACGAGCAGGGAGCTTGTGCAAATTGAGAACACAGAAACTGCCCGTCGCAGCGGCGAGGAGCCCACACAGGCGAGGACAGGCCTGAGAGGTCAGTGCAGATGACTAACACGCGTCAAAAATACACAATTTCACAGCAACTAAAAAGAGACAGCACCGTTCATCTTTCACTGACCCAAATCGGCCGGCAAGCCTCGGAAACACTGGAAGAGGTGTCGGGCACAGGGAACAGCGGGTGTGCACCGCGCTGACCCCCGAGAGCCTGCCTGCCCTGGGCACCAGGGGCCCCTCCCAGGAGCCTGGCCCGCAGAGATCGCCCGCAAGAGGCCAGCTGCGGGCACAGAGGCGCTCACGGGCACTGCGTACCACTAGGAGGGGCTCTCTGCCTCATCTCCCTGCACTTCCCAAGTCAACGAGGGCACGCTGCCACACCACCTGGGCCTCCAGGACCCAGGAGAAGGAAGATTTCTCAGGCGCTACTGCCGCTCATTCAAAGTAACAGGACACTTCACTTGAAAGCCTTGCAGGGGGTGCTCGCCGGCACCCGCACCGACTGACCCCACCTACCAGTAGGTCAGAACCCGGCACCCACCAGGCCTGACCACTTGAGCTCCACCTCTTCCCTTTCAGCTTGACTCCCGGGCACATTTCTGCTGCTTTTTAAATGATAATCATCACCTGAGAGCAGGCTGCTCTTGTCGGCCACCCTGGTCAGGATTAAGGCGAGCCCACTGGCTCATGCGACCAGTCAATGACAACGAGCGACTGGTAACCACTTTTGGAAAACTAAAATTTGAGCACATCTTCCAGATGGCAACAGATCTCCAGCAAAGAGGTGCTCCCTGCCCCTGGTGTCATGGGCTCCCACGCACACAGACGCGTGAGAGAGAGAGAGAAAGGGAGGGAGGGAGGAACAGATCTTCACCCCTTTCACAGTCTTTATTCATCCCCCCAACCCCCCCACCCCCCGACGGCACAGCTGCCTTCCAGGCACAGGACTCTTTTCTACCAGATACTGTGACAGATTTCCCAATTTTCAGTTACTTATAATGATAAACTTGCAGTACCTTCTATTGAATTTTTGGGTCGCCGTTTTGAGGTCTTTGTGGTCACTGACCTGGATGCTTTGGCGGAAACCTCGCTCTAAAGAAAAGAGAGTGAAAAAGAATGACTTGGTGTGTGTCAGGCAATTCGTTCAGCAGACTTTTGATACAAGCTCTGCTTAATAAAGAACAAAGAGGAAACAACACCACCATCCAGATGCTCTAAAGGGGACCAGATACCGAGTCGGCCCCCTGCCCTGAGGCTGAACGGAAGACAAGGAGGCCCCTTCATTCTACAGTCAGAAATCCATCTTCTGCAAAGGCTAAGAAAGGCCAGCAGTCCACCAACCACACGGAGAAACACTATCTTAGCAGATGTGTTCGTGAGGACTCACCCTCCGTGGCCAGATGCTAGTTACTCACACGCGTCCGTCCTAACAACTCGCAGTGCAAGCATTCACGTTCAGAGTGCAAACCAGCCACCACGGCTTTGCTGCACCTGCCACAATGACCCCTAACCGGCCTCCCAGCCTCCACTCCACGCTTCGTCTGTCTTCCCGGCAGCTGCCTGGATACCCCTTCTGAAATGCAAACTGGACTATGAAAGTCGGGACGAGTCTAACATCTGGGAGCCAGAGGCACAGAGAAGATGTGGCCCGCCCCGGCCGTCCCCCAGCCGTGGGACACGCACTGCGAGGTCCCACACAGGCCAGGCAGAGCTTGGAGGGGTCCCTCCGGCGCCCCTGCTTTCCTGGAACTGCCTGGAGACTGAATCTACTCCCCGACTCACCAGCGGCACTGCCCGGACTCTCTCCCGAATGACCCCCCATCCCTCTGTACCCCATATGTACAAGGAAAGGCCACAGCCCGCCACGGACACCGGGCTCCTGTGTGGCCTGCACCATGTCCCATCTCCAGGGCTCCAGGGGCCAGAAGACGCCACAGCACTGCGGTCACTGGGTCAACACAGCTACCCGTTTATGTCTCTTGAAATTATTTTTTAAGGTTTACCTCTGTTGCAGCTTTGGAGTCTTTCACGGATCCGTCTGACAATTTTTTAGACACCTCCCCTGAGCTCAAGGACTGTTAAAAAAAGAACAATAATTCATCATATTCTGTTACTCTTCAAACCTGTTACATCTTTTTTTGTTTACATTTATTTATTTTTGGAAGACAGAGCACAAGTGGGGGAGGGGCAGAGAGAATGAGACAGAATCTGAAGCAGCTCCAGGCTCTGAGCTGTCAGCACAGAGCCCGACGTGAGGCTCAAACTCACAAACTGTGAGATCATGACCTGAGCCAAAGTCAAACGCTTAACTGACTGAGCCCCCCAGATGCCCCAAACCTGTTATATCTAAAAACACATCGATATGCAAGAGGTTTCTTGCCAACCGGCGGCATGAGCACCCGCCCTTGAGAGCACTGGTCACACTCCAGGCCCGATGCCACCTGCATTCCCAAAGGGCCACCTGGGGGAAGGCAACAGGGTCAGGGGCAGCGGCGCCTCTCGGGAAACCACTGAACGGAGTCCCCCAGACACGCGGGGTCCTCACGCCAGGCCAAACTTCTCAGTGAGACGCGGGCGTCTAGAAACGGGGAAGGAGTGAACAGAAACCACCAGCCAACACGGCCCCAGGGCCGCTGGTCGCCGCTGCAGAGAGTGGGGCTGCATGCAAAGGGACGCTCCTTTGTGCACAAAGCCTTCAGGCTCTAGAGCCCAAAGCAAATGACATGCAAACTGCACATACCAACTCACACCTACAATCAGGTCCCTAACAGACGCATCTAGATGTGAGGAGTGGAAAGCAAGAGATTCTCCCCCCAGGACTGGGAAGCAAAGGACGATGGCTCAGGTCAATGGCCACGTGCTCCCCCACCTCCCCGTGGAGGGTACCGGGCTCTGTGCACAGCCCCTCGCCGCCCCGCTGTCCCGAGGATGAGGAGGCACCGCACCCCCAGCCCTGACCCCTGGCCCTCCCCCCGCACCCCCTCTCTAGACACACCAACCATTCGCCTCATCTTCACAAAAGCCTGAGGGCAACTGAGAAGGTCCGATCATCATCTCTTCCAGACCGAAATCAAGTGGGGGGAGAGTCAAGGGAACTGACAGAGGGTGAGGACGGAAGTCCTGGAGCCTGGCTCCCTGGGAGGCATCCACATGGGGTGTCCTCACCACCGGCGAGCACTGCCCCCCAGATCCCACAGAGGAACCCCAGATTTACACCAGAGGGGCCAGCCCTGGAAAAACCACCAGGAAGGCCGGCTTTGGGGGCTGGAGGACCAGCTCTGAGCAGAAGCACAGGCCCAGGGCGCCCGGCTGGCTCCGTCCATGGAACAGGTGACTCGTGAACTCAGGGTCGGGAATTCAAGCCCCACGTTGGGCATGAGCCTACTTAAAGTTAAAAAACCATGGGGCAACTGGGTGGCTCAGCTGGTTGAGCGTCCAACTTCGGCTCAGGTCATGATCTCACACTCAGGAGTTCAAGGCCCGCATCGGGCTCTGTGCTACAGTTCAGAGCCTAGAGCCTGCTTCCCATTCTGTCTCCCTCTCTCTCCACCCTCCCCCACTCGCACTCTGTCTCTCTCTCAAAAATAAACACAATAAAACAATTTTTGGGGCGCCTGGGTGGCTTAGTGGGTTAAGTGTCCGACTTTCTAATTTTTTTTTTTTTTATGTTTTATTTATTTCTAGGAGAGAGAGAGACAGCGTGAGCAGGGGAGGGTCAGAGAGAGAGAGGGAGTCACAGACTGAAACAGGCTCCAGGCTCTGAGCTGGCAGTCAGCACAGAGCCCGACGTGGGGCTCGAACCCACGAACCGCGAGATCATGACCTAAGCGAAAGTCGGACGCTTAACCGACTAAGCCACCCAGGCGCCCCAAGTGTCCGACTTTCGCTTAGGTCATGATCTCGCGGTTCGTGCTCTGTGCTGACAGCCAGCTCAGAGCCTGGAGCCTGTTTCAGTCTGTGTCTCCCTCTCTCTCTCTGACCCTCCCCTGCTCACGCTGTCTCTCTCTCTCCTAGAAATAAAAATATTAAAAAAAAAAAAACAATTAAAAAAAAAATAAAGTTAAAAAACCAGTAAGTAAATAAAAATATATTTAAAAAGAGCAGCAGCAGCAGCACAGGCCCTTCACCCTGGTCTCACATGCGAGGTCAAGCCGCCGCTCCCAGCAGGCTCCGGCATCCTCCGGACCTGCCATAAAACCCGTCCTTGGAGTTCGGTTTCTATTTAGAACACTGGTCACAGCATCAGCGCTTTCAGGGAACAGAGCGGATGGGACACTTTATGAGGCGCCACCCCGTTAGGGGGCTGCCTCACGCACAGGAAGAGCACAAGAGCGTGCCAGCCCCTCAGAAAAGTCAGGTCCGTGACGGGCCGCCTGGGTGGCTCAGTCAATTGAGGGTCTGACTTCGGCTCAGGTCAGGACCTCACGGTTCATGAGTTCAAGCCCCACGTCAGGCTCTGTGCTGACAGCTCAGAGCTATTTCAGATTCTGTGTCTCCCTCTCTCTCTGCTCCTTCCCAGCTCGCACTCTCTCTCTCAAAAAATAAACAAACGTTGAAAAAGTTTTTAAAAACTTAAAAAACAGAAAAATCAGGTCAGTGAAAACCATTTTTTCTTCTTAAACCTCTAAAAAGAGTCAAAAGATGCAGAATGGCTATGTTATTTCTAAAACCTTCCCTAAGGGAAGCCTGGTTTTCATGACATCTGTCACAGCGCCCATCGCTCCAGGGGCTTCCTGGGAGGCCCTGAGTCCCCAAGGGCCATGCGCACTGGGCCCTGGAGGTGCTGCAGGCCCGGGAGGCACGGGCCCCGCCCCTCACCACCCAACCGCGTGCCCTGGGCAGACCTTGAACCTCTTGGGACCTGGGCTCCCTCGATAGCAGCAGACTCCCACAGCCGTGGGGACACTTTACAACGTGAGCTCCCCGGGGGGACAGGCGCCTGCAAGGCCAGGCCTGATGGAGGCCCACCCCACCTCCCGTGAGCCCAAAAGTATCCGCACGTTTAGAAAACACTGTTTGAAACCAAACGAATTTTCTGGCCCGTCGTAAACGTACCTAAAAATTCAACTCAACAACAATCAGAGCAGCCGCAGGTGCCGAGCTCCGCCGCGAACGCGCACGGCCCTGGCGAGCAGCCCTAACCGTGTGGAGGCAGCCGTGCCCACGAGCAAGGCGTGTGTAAGAGCCCGCACACGCAGCACTGCTCGCACAGGGCAGTGCGAAGCCCCGGTCCCAAGCCCCCACACGCGCGCCCGCAGCGCAGGGGTGAGGCCAGCGCCTGGTGAAACACCGGGCACAGCCCCTGGGAAGCCCGGGCTGCCGCAGGCGGCGCCGCAGAAAAGCCGCTCCCGACCAGGCGCGACGCCGACGGAAGGCACCGCAGGTGAGAGGCCGAGGGCGGCGACAGGGCCCTACCTTCCTCTCCGGTCTGTCGTGCTCTCTGCCCTTCTCCCTGTCGGCGTCCCCGGACGGGTCCCCGTCCTTGCCCCTCCGCCGGTCCCGGCCCTTGTCCCGCTCCCGCCACCTCTCCTTCTCCTTCCCGGCCTCGCCCCGCCGCGCTCTCTCGCGCTCCGGGTCCCTGTCCCGCTCGCGGGGGCCTCTGTCCCTGTCCTGCTTGGCCCGGTTCCTGGCTCGCTCGCTCTCGCCGTCTCGCTGCTTGTCCCTCTCGGGCTCCTTGTGCCTGTCGCGGTCGCTCCCCTACGTCCTGTCCCTGTCCTTCTCTCTCGCTCTGCTTTCTTCTTTCACTCCTTCCTTCTGCTTCCGGTCTCTGCTCGTACCTTCCTCCTTTATGTCAGAATTCCTTTCATCCTGAGGAAGAGGCCAGACAGCAGCATCACTTACAAACGTCTTTACCTGAGCCACAGAAAGGCTCCGTATCTCGCTTCCGCACACGCACGACTGGCAATTCACCTCATCTTTACGAACGCCGGGCTCTTCCTCTCGTGCGCTCCTGCTGTCCGGCTCCCGAGGCCTGGCCGTCAGGGAGGCCCTTCCCTTCACGTCCCCCCTCTCTCCAGCCAACACTCGCTTCACCGCCTCGTCACTGGAGAGCTTGTGGTCCACGCGGGAGGCAACGAAAGACAAGGGGAAAAGGGCATCAGCGCAAGGGACAAAGGGAGCATCGGCATTCAGGGGCAGCTCGTTAAACGCACCCCGCGTCTCCCCAGGACGGTCCCGGGATAAAATCTTAGAAGGGGATGCCGTTCGCACCAAGTTCCGCATCTCCTGGTAACTGTCACCTCCAGGATGTCAGAAAGGACAGCAAAGCTGACCCGCACAAGCGTCTGTACTTCTCCCAGGATCACGGAGGCCCCGTGCAGGAAGGGCCTTGCGGAATGTTCTAGCTCAAGCTCCACCCAATGCAAACCTCTGCTGCACCATCCCTGCCTGCCGGCAGAGGCTTCGAGCACCTCCACTCAGGGATCCTGCTCCTCACAGCGCACTCATTCCACAAGGATGCACCGAGCGACGGTCACACACCAGGTACTAGACTGTAGGTCAAGGACCCTTGTGCATGTTGGGGAAGAGACTGAATGCAACAATTAGACGCCAGTGCCACGGGAACGAAGTCCGCCTGGGAGGGAGGAGAGGCCGGGGCTCCAGAGCCCACACTGCCGCCATACGAAGACTCGAGGGGGCCTGGCCATGCAGGGGACCCCAGGGTGCAGGCACAGGGGTGAGAGCTGAGAGGAACTGGAGGGCGGGAAGGAGCCCCGGGTCTCCGGGAGCCCCACGGGCCAGGCCGCAGAGAGGGCTGCGCCCGGAGGCAACAGGAAGCTGGCAAAGGACTCAGCAGGGAAGGCAGGAGTCAAATGTGATTTGAAAGGGAAGGAACACGAGAGATGTAGGGGTGAACACGAGGGATGCAGGGGTGGGGCCTGGGGACGGAGCAGGGCACTGGCAGAATCAGCTCCTCATTTCCAAGCCTGAGAGCTGGACGAAGACCCAGGTGAGACTCTCTGGAGGCCTCCTCGGGGCCCCACCCCCACCACTGCTGTGTGCTGAAGCCCACCCTTCCCCACTTTGGTAACACGGAAGGTTACCCGCCCACAACCCATCAGGCGCACGAAGGGCTGAATTAGCTACACCCTCTCCCCAGGCTTTGGTGACGCCAAGCCGAGATGTGCTCAACGTCCTTAGCAAGAAGGCCCCGGGCCAGATCTAAGCAGAGACCCCCAGCTTCGAACCCACAGTGAGGATCCCAGGAAGCTAAAAATGAGTCCCTGGGGGCGCCTGGGTGGCTTAGTCGGTTAAGCGTCCGACTTTCACTTAGGCCATGATCTCACGGTTCGTGGGTTCGAGCCCCGCGTCGGGCTCTGTGCTGACTGCCAGCTCAGAGCCTGGAGCCTATTTCAGAGTCTGTGACTCCCTCTCTCTCTGACCCTCCCCTGCTCACGCTGTCTCTCTCTCTCTCTCTCCTAGAAATAAATAAAAATATTTAAAGAAAAAATGAGTCCCTGTACAAGTGACACAAGATTTCCCTTGGCAGCACACCTCTGTGCCGACCGCCGGGGCCGGGGGAGGGGAGCAGAGGGACAGAGGGAGGGAGGGGGGAAGAGAAGCGGCGGACACCAGAGGCTGGAAAGGCAGGCAGGGAACAGGAAGAGCCCGTGAGCCCCAGAGGAGAAGAAAAGCAGGTCCTCCACCTGCCCCTCCCCCCGCCCCGGAAGGAGGCCCAAGAGAAGGCAGGCAGGGCCTGGATGAGGGGCGCGCAGCCTCCAGCCACCCGCCCCGGCGGCCAGTGCCCGTAAGGTCCCCTGGGTCACAGGTCAGCCTGGAGAAGGTGTGCCCGGCATCCCCTTGTCTCCCGGTGCGGTTATAAATCACTTCTCCCGCAGCCCCGAGGCTCTGAAGCGTAGCATTTGGCAGACGCCCCGCAGCCACCGTCCCCAGGCTTGGGACCCTGCGTCCCCGCCCCGCTTCCCAGCCCTGGCGGGTCCAGCTCCCCGCGGCAGCGCTACCTTGCTGAGGCAGCACTTCCCCAGTCTCTGCAGCAGCTCGTTGGTTCTCTCGGGCTCGTGCCCGGCGACGATCCGCGCTGGCCTGGCCGACAGCGGCTCTCCCGACACCATCGCCACCACGTCTATGGCCTTCTGAAGGAAGCTAATTTTCGCATCTTTATCCTGAAAGATGTCCATTTAAAACACAAACAGAAAAGTACTTCCAACACACTCGGCACGTCTTCATGTCCGACAGGCACGGCTCCTGCGCACACATGTCAAATCTGGAAATGCCAAGTCTTTGTAACAAAACAGAAATAATTCATTGGAGCTTTTAACTCGAGCGGATGGGCTGACAGAGACTCTGAAGCCCTGACTCCACTTCTCGGTGGATAGAACCTACATGATACGCAGTTGGTGGGGACAGGGAAACGGAAGGGGGGCGCGCACCGTGGCCCACAGTGTAACCAACCCCACAGGCCTGCACACAGCGGCCTATAAAGGACACACACCTGGCACAGAGCTTACAAAACACCTATTTGTTAAGAGGAGGGTGCAGCCTACCTTAACGTTATCGGACTTCATCTCGGCGTCCGTGTAGAGGCCCTTCATGAAGCCAGTCACTCTAATCACCTTCAAAAGATCAAGGCCACGGTCAGCGGCTCACGGGCCAGCCTCTCCACGGGCCTCACCCCCTGAGCCCCACGGTCAGGAGCCATCAGAGTCTGTCCACATCCGGGATTTAATCCGTTCACTTGCTCCACAAGCTTTGGAGAACCTACCATGTCCACGGCCTTACAGCAGGCAGGACCCAGCCCGGAAGGGGGGGCAGGCGAACGTTATGAAGACTTGCAGGGCAGTAAGTGAGCATGAGGGGGGTCCCCAATCCACACCCGGGGGGGGGGGGTCAGGGAACGCTTCCCAGGGGAGATCCTATCTAAACAGAAGCCACGGCTAACAGAACGAGAGTGGGGGGCGGGGGTGTTTAGAAAACATGTGCTCGGCTAACCGGTCCCGGCAAGGTCCGGGGCCAAGTCCGGTTCAAGGGAGCCTGGCTGGCTCAGCCGAAGGAACACGCAGCTCTTGACCTTGGGGTTGCGAGTTTGAGCCCCATGATGGGTGCAGAGATTACTTCAATAAATAAAATTTAAAGAAAAAAAAAGTAGTAGTTCAGGACAGCAGGAGCCTGAGGACCTCATGGGCCTGAAAGGTTCAAAAGCAGGCAGATGACATCTTACAAAGGTTGCTCGGGCCCAGTGGAGAGAGTGGACTCTGGAACCAAAAGGAATTTCTCAGCCTGGGTTTCTAACTGTGGACAGAAAGGTCTTTCTCCTCACCCTCACGCTGCTCCCTGGCCACAGCAGGGGGCGGCCCTGGGCCAAGTCCCTTTTGTTCTCTCCCTGCCCCTCCCTCCTGGCCTTCAACCTGCACTTCCCCAGTACCCCAGCCCAGCTTTACAGGTAGGGATTTTCCTGTTCCTACACACACACACACACACACACACACAGAGCCAAGACCCTGGTTCTCTCGGATCAGAATTTCTCAAAATGTAAGAGGTCACTGTAAAATCAACATGATGCGTAGCAATAAGCATTTTTCCAAAAAATAAAACTGAAAATATTAGCCACATTGTATGTAGTAAGCATAAATACACCTATATGTGCATGTTGGCTGGCTAGAGTGTATTTATTAGTGCAAGACATGTTTTTTTGAGAAAAAGACAGCCCCACGCTAACATCAGGCTACTTCTCTGACACCAAGCTGGCTGTTAATTAAGCTAGTTTTCATTCCTCATCAGACTACCTAAGAGTTGTGCTACTACTTTTCCTGAGAAGACAGATGGAATATTAAGAGTATCTTAAGCTTAGGGGCGCCTGGGTGGTTCAGTCAGCTAAGTGACCGACTTCAGCTCAGGTCATGATCTCGCGGTTCATGGGTTCAAGCCCCATGTCGGGCTCCGTGCTGACAGCTCAGAGCCTGGAGGTGCTTTGGGTTCTGTGTCTCCCTCTCTCTCTGCCCCTCCCCTGCTCATGCTGTCTGTCTGTCTGTCTGTCTCTCTCTCTCTGTCTCAAAAATAAATATAAACATTAAAAAAAGAGTATCCTGAGTTTAATATTCCTGGAACATTTTCATTTTGTCTGTTATGACATTTTCCTAGTCTGCAGGCAGTTAAAATTGTGAATAATAATTTTAAGGGACAAGAAATATTAACCTCACAAGATCAATGCTTTGATTTACGAAAGAGGCCGAGTTAGTTTAGCCGTAGCTAAAATACCAATGGTGACCTGAATACAATACTGAGAGGCAGGGAAGGATGTTCAGAGGTGGCTCTTTGCCTCCTACCTGAAAATGCTTTCCAACAGGTCAGTCACCCTAATATCCACAACAAGTAGGTGACAGTTAATGCATTTGTCTTCACACGGGCAGAGAAATTAATTTCAGCATGAGATTAGGAAAGAAAAGCCGTGAAAGAAAAGCAAACCATTGGTTCCTGACGGAGAATGTGTAACTCCTTCCACAGCCTGGCTGCCTGGCCAATCAGGTCAATTCCTGCTAGACTGTCCCTCCTGCTTCTCCACTACGATGCACTCTGACCTTCTGGGAGCCCGGCACCACGCCAAGACCCACGGTACGAGGCACATGGCTCCTGTCACCCCACCTCGGCGGGCAGACAGGACTAACCCAGAAGACAAAGGTGTGAGAAGATGAAGATAAATGGTGGCAAGCACTGTGGTCAGGAAGGCTCACCTCCAGGCTAACTCACCTCTTCCCTCCTGGGTTAGAGGACCCTATCTGCCTACTTCCCAGGACAAGAAGAAGGGACACAGCCCCACCCTTCCCTGAACACCCTCCCCGACAGGTGAAAGTATTGCTAGAGAAGGAGGCGGGGCTTAGGCCAGACAGCCCCAGGATGTGGGCGGGATTCCAGAGAGCCTCAAGCACAGGGTGGGCGCACATTATAAACTAAGTTGAGAGAGCAGATGAGGAAGGCCAAGTCTGCAGAGAAGAACACACCCCACCTGTTGGGCAGAGAGAGAAGTGAAGCTGGAGGACCCATCTGGGGAGCCCTCAGAAGTCTCCAAGTTCAACCTGATTCCTAACTCCCGGAGACCACGCCCGAGTTGCTGGGTTCAATGCCCTTCTTAGCCACACCATGGAAATGGGCACCACGGCCCTGAGTTACCAGGAGCCTTGACAGCCTCGTTCAACAGTGAAGGCTGGCGGGGCACCCTCTGTGTACCTTACTCAGCTCGGCTCACCCAGGATATGGCAACAAACAGGTACGGTCTTCACCGCTTGGTGATTCACCATCCGCTGGGGAAAAGTTAAACCATCTCCACGGAGGTCAGGCAAACAGCAGCAAATATCAACCTGCCCTTCTAGAGTTTTCCCTTTTGGGTGGCACTACAACCACCTTCAACAAATTCGCCCACAGGTGTGTATCAAGCATCCAAAACGTGGTGACCACCGTGCAGAGGAGTGTGAGAAACACGTGGGGAGCATGAGGGTAAAAAAGCATCACTTCATTCTCGCAGGATTTCTGCCTGCCTTCCCCCAGCCAGGCACTGAGGGGGGCGGCAGAATCACAGAAACGGCTCTACCAGGCTAGTGGGAGAGGAGCTCTAACAGATACATGGGAAAGAAAGAAGGCTCCCTGAGGGGCCGCGGGAGGCAGCCCAGGGGGATGGGTGAGAGGGAAGAGCAGGGGTGAGGGCAACTCGGTGCCGAGGCGCCTCGGAATTGGGCCCAGTGGGCTCGGGCAGGGGCTGCGCTCGGCTCTGCGAGGCAGATTCTAACGCCAGCCCTGATTCTGACCCCGACTCCTACCCGGGCCCCGATCCCCGGCTCCGACCATGGCGCGTCCGCACCTGGGACCCTGACTCCCGACCCGGGTCCCCGACCCTGGCCCCGGGGCACCCGGGCCCTGACCCCGGCCCGCACCCGGCACCCCGACTCCGGCTGCACCTGGGGCCTGACTCCCAGCCCTGTCTGTCGCCCGCCCGGGTCCCGACCCGCACCAGGGCCCCGACTGCCACCTGGGACCCCCACTCCGGCCCTCACTTGGCCCCTGACCCCCACCCGAGTCCCCACCCGCACCAGGGCCCCGACCCCCGGCCCCCACCTCCGTGATGATGTCGTGCAGGTAGCGGAACGGGGGCTTGCTCAGCAGCTTCTCCGTCAGCGGCGGCCTCCGGATCACCTTCCCCAGGGCCTCCTGCGTCCGCTTCACCACGACCGCGTTCATGGCGGCGCCGCCCGCGCCCGCGCCCCCGCCGGCCCGCCGAGCCTAAGCCGCGATCCCGGGCCGCCGCCGGCCCCGCCGCCGCCGCCGCCGCCGCCCGCTCCCGCCCGGGCGCAGCGCTCGGGCTCCCATCCCACAGTGCACCGGAGTGCGCCACTGCGCGTGCGCGGGGTCTCCAGCGCCGTCGCCAGGGCGGCGCGGCCTTAGCAACGGACGCGCCGCGGCGCCCCGCCCCGCCCCGCCCGCCGCGCACAGGCTCCCGCGGGAATCCTCCCGCAGCCTGGAGGCTTTGTGATCTGTTTTTAGCTCTTCCTCATTAAAAGAGGCTGATCGGAGCTCCATTTTTACGTCTTTTTTTAATGGAGATGTAATTAACATATACAACATTAGTTCAAGTGTAGGACATAATGATGTGATATTTGTATACATCGCAAAATAATCACCACAGTAAGTCTGGTTCACACCCGCCACCGTAGTTTCAAAAGCTTTTCATTGTCATGAGCAACTTTCAAATCAAACATGTAACACAATATTATTAACTCAAGTCACCATGCTGTCCATTATATCCCCATAACGTCGTTATTTTATAACTGGAAATTTGTACCTTTGACCCCCTTCATCTGTTTCTTCTAATTGTACTTTTATAAATTTTATTTACATTTATTGTTACCATTCTCAATGCTCTTCATTCTTTGGGTAGATTCCAGTTTCCATGTGGTATCATGTTCCTCCTGTCTGAAAACTTCCTTTACTATTTCTTTTAGCAAAGATCAGCAGACAGATAGTGCTCCCACCTTTCCTTTATCTGTTTTTTTTTTTTTTTNTACAGAAGGATATGTTATGGTCTAACTAGTCATACCTGTATTGTATCAGTGTTTTCACCCTAGATGCCACATTCTCAAACTTATGTGACTTTCCTTCAAGATCCCATAGCTATTCTTGTAGAAATATTTACCTTTAGAATCTTTTTTTTTTAAACGTTTTATTTATTTCTAGGAGAGAGAGAGAGACAGCGCGAGCAGGGGAGGGTCAGAGAGAGAGGGAGTCACAGACTGAAATAGGCTCCAGGCTCTGAGCTGGCAGTCAGCACAGAGCCCGACGCGGGGCTCGAACCCACGAACCGCGAGATCATGACCTAAGCGAAAGTCGGACGCTTAACCGACTAAGCCACCCAGGCGCCCCCACCTTTCCTTTATCTGAAAGTGTTTATTGCACCTTCACATTTGAAAGATCATTTCACAGAGCATGCAAACCTGGGTTAACATTTTTTTTTTCTTTCAGTACTTTAAAGATTTTACTCCATTGGCTTCTGATTTACATAGTTTCTGAAGAGAAGTCCGCTGTAGTTCTTTGTTCTGTGTCTCTGGCTGCCTTCAAGATTTTCTTTTATCATTGGTTTTTAAAAATGTGCCCATGATGTTTCTAGTTGGCAGAGTTTTTTACTTTAAAATTTATATTTGATTATTATTCATATGCAATAAGCTTTACCTATTTTACCTATACTTACTGGTCCATGCATTTTGGTCACTATATACAATTATGTTACCACCACCCCAATCAGAATCTAGAACAGGTCATGCTCCCTAAAATATTTCCTCTTGCTCACATGCAACTGATCTCCTTTCTCACGCCAGCCCCAGGCACCACTGATCCACTTTGTCATGATAAGTATGCTTTTTCTAGAGTTTCATATAAATGGAATCATACAGTACATAGTCTTTTGTGCTTAATTCTTTCTTTGATGATTTTGAAATCCATCCGTGTTGCTAGATACATTAATATAGCATTCCTCTGTGTGTCTGAGTACTAGTCCACAGTACAATTTGTTGATCCATTCACCAGTTTATCAGCATTTGGATTGCTGTTAGGTTTTGATTATTTATAAATAATGCTGCTAGGGGTACCTGAGTGGCTCAGTTGGTTGAGCAACTGGCTCTTGATCTCAGCTTGAGTTGTGGTCTCACAGTCATGGGATCAAGCCCTGCATCAGGCTCTGAGCGGAGCGTGCAGTCTGCTTGGGATCCCCTCTCCCTCTCTCTCTGTTCCTCTCCCCTCGCTTCTCTCTCAAAATTAAATAAGCTATAAAATCTTTAAAAAAAATAAATACTGCTTCTAAGAACATTTACATACAAGTCTGTGCAAACAGTTTTCTTTTCACTTGGTTAAATTCCTAGGAGTGGAATTTCTGGATTGCATGGTAAGAATATGTTTCACGTTACAAGATGTTACCAAGTTTTCAAATTGATGGCATCATTTTTCATTCCCACCAGCCATATATGTGATTTCTAGTTCCTCCTTATCCCTGCCTAGACCTGACAAGTCGGTCTTCTTTTTCTTTTTGGGGGGTCACTCTTTTTAACCTCAGTCATTCCTGGGGCACCTGCGTGGCTCAGTTGGTTAAGCATCTGACTTCAGCTCAGTTCATGATCTCGCGGTTCACAGTTCAAGCCCCGCATCAGGCTCTGTGTTAACAGCTCAGAGCCTGGAGCCTGCTTCAGATTCTGTGTCTCCTTCTCTCTTTGCCTCTCCCTGAATATCTGTTTCTCTCTCTCTCTCTCTCTCTCTCTCTCTCCCTTTCTCAAAAATAAATAAACATTTAAAAACTTAACTTCAGTCATTCTAGTGGTGCTCTAATGGTATCTTATTATGGTTTTAATTCACATTTCTCTGTTGATTTGTGATTTTGAGCCTCTTTTCATGTACTAATTGGATATTCATATGTATTTAGTGAGGATAGCTCATAAAGTGTCCAGGTGTTCATTGAATCACTGCTATGTGCTACGAAAATTAATAAAAGGAAACATCGTTGAGCATGGAGTCAGGAGACCAGCAGACGGGCTGAGCTCTCATTCCCAGCACTGGTTATCAATAGCAGATCGGACAGGAAGGGAGGGACATTGCACATGGATATTACTTTACCATCCCAGCAGCAGGAGGAATGATTTCCTCCTTGCCAGGCAATAGCCCAGCCAATGAGAGACAGTCACAGCTCAGCCAGTGAGAAGCCACTATACTGCCAACTCCCACTTTGCTTCAATGGACTCTGTTTATAACAGCCTTCCGAACTAACTCTCCCTTTCCTCTATAGGAGAGAATTTCTCTCCTTTGCCCTAGAGACATGCCTATGGTTTTGCTGTAGCGTGCTTGTCCCTGATTGCAATTCTCTGCTATTCCAGAATAACCCCATTTTGGCTGGTAAAATAACTGACAGCTTTATTTTTCAGGTTAACAGGGGCTGGGGAACTCTTGGAGAACGATGTAACTTCCGGTAAGCAATACCCACGCCATCCTCTGATACCCACTGCTCCTTGGAACATCACTTGGTCCCCCAGGGAGGCCAGGTGAGCCACCAGGGCTCATTCCTTCCAGCGGTGCAAACCTCGCTTCTCTCCACACTTCACCCTGCAGCAAGACTGGCTGTCTGAGATTTCACCGAGAAGTTAGGGGCCACCTAAGGGAATGACCACCTGGGAGGGAAGGAATTTGACAAGTAGAGCTATTCTGTGGTCCGTGGGGAAAAAGCGCCCAGCAAACTGCACCCTCAGAGGTGTTCCCTCAGTTATTAACCCTCCTCCCCAACTTCCAGGTCTATCCCCTTGTCCAGAGCACATCCATCTTCTGCCCCCTGCCTTGTCAAATCGTCCTGACTTTCTGGAAATCCCGCCATCTACATATGTATCTTCTCAACTACCCCCTTTCTTTCGGCACTGGGCTCTCCATTCCAGACTCATCCCAAGGGAGGGGCAGGACAGTCTAGCAGTTCAGTCCCTTGCAACAGTCCAGAGTGACGTGGACACTGTGAATCGGGTCCTTCTAGGGCCCCAGACCTCCACTGTTCTCGTCTTCGTCCACATACATATCTTTATGACACACATGTCCCGCCTCCCAAGAATGAGTGCTAATTCTCAAACTGTTCATCATTTCTGAACATCCTCGCCCACGTTGAAACTAGTACATCATATTCAAATGGAGAACAATGTTAGCCCCTTTCTTCCCCTTCCCTGCCACCACCTGGCCCCCCTCTGGCTGCCCTGAAAGTCTTCTAAATAAAGGGGTGGGTCATCGTGAGACTGTGTCCTACTTTATGGCCACGCCCTTAGTTCTCGAAAGGTGGCCCAATGCTCTAAAGTGATTAAGCCTTCAGACAAAGATGTGCCGGCCTCCCACCCTCCAAGTGTTAGGGAGAGAAGGGGGCGGGGATGTCATTCTCACAGGACCGCCAGGCGGAGCCCTTCAGGATGTCGTAGTGTCGGAGAGCTGGAGCGTCCTGACCCAGACGTCTTCCCTGATCTGCTCACCGTGGCCGAGCTGGGAGCCCAGAGGCTCCTGTGAGGGACGCCGCCTCTAAACTCTGAACACTGGCTGGGCGGCCTGAGTAAGAGCAGAAAGGGAAGTCAGGGAGGTCGCCGACCCTGGCCTCTGACCCAAGTGCCCTACCTCCCCAACAGACGCCGGCTAGCCCCTTTCCTGGAACGTTCACGCTGGGCAGAATCATCTGGGCCCGGAGCCATGCGACGCCGTGGCAAACAATGGCTTGTCTATTGTGGTCGGCCAGAGCAGTGGGGCCAGGCGGTGTGGCCCCTGAGCGTCCACTGAGGACCCCAGCCAGAGCCACACGAGGGGGAAGCCTGACTCCAGTTTCTCCCACAGCCTGTGGAGAGCAGGGGAGCCGTCTAGGCCGAGGAGGCTCACACAGGCCTGTGGGTACAGGCCTTGCTTCTCTTTGGGACCACAGGGCCATGAGAGAGGGTCTCTGAGGGGGTCTGCGACAAGGAAGCAGACCCCGCGGAGGGCCCGCCTGAGGGGAGCAGGCCGCGGCCTGTGGGTACAGCCTCTGGGAATGTGCTCGGGCCACCCCTGCATCGCCTGAGGCCTCCACACGGAGCCCCAGGGCAGGAGTGCTGGGCCCGCAGTGAAGGATTCCGGGCGCCTAGAAAGAGACAGGGATCCACCTCAGGGAGAGCGGGCGGGAGAGGGGCCCGGACACCAGTGGGGAGCCTCCAGTTCCGGGGGCCGGCGGCACGGGGGCCCCGCAGCCTGAATTACCCTCAGCACCTC